GTAGTGTTTTACTAGAGAGTTCTGCCACTGCTGTGGTCCATTTTGTTCCGTTTGAGGAATTCGGAAGCCTTAAACTTGGTTGAATTGGAGCGGGCAAGAATATAGAATCTGATGACAACGTAGTTAAGTACACCACATGCATATCAGTTGAGTGCTGTTTATTCGGGTCGGATACACAAGCCTCGAAACGCGTAAAATGGATTACGTATTGTACGCAATAGTGTAACGACTGTAGGAATTAAAAATACTTGAATGATGTGTAATATTAATCGTAAACTACATTATTAAAAACTAATATTCTATGTTTTATTTTATATATATATATAAAAAAAAAAAAATTAAATGTACAATATACTTACTTGTAATGTTACAATAATATAATTTACAATCTCAATGGATTGGGAATTTCATAAAAAAAAGCTTTAATTTACATTGTGGTATTTGTTTGTAAGTAGTAATTTAATTATTTCAAAAAATTTTTTGCAGAATAATATGTTTACATGTAAACAGCTGAACGTTAATTTCAAACAGGAGACACGCATTCGAGTAATATTATTTTTAGATTACTTTCTATTCATGAAAATTCCTACTCAGATTTGATAATATTCTTTTTTTTATGTGGGTGTTGTATTTCACATAATTTTTTCCATTTTAAAATGCATGTGATATGTTTCAATTCGTCTATAACTATAAAAATAATGCTAAGTTTGCAAATATATTTGTTTATTTTTCTTTTTGGTTATATTATCTTTATTTTTTATTGATGCATATTGTACTGTGCTTATTTCTTTCATCAGTTAAATTTATTTTCAAAATTTCTTACATAGACGATACATTTTGAAAAAAACACTTTTTCACAAAATCAATTAAATTGTGTGTTATATCTTCAAAAAATGTATGATTTATTTAGTAACACATAAACGTGATTACTATTCGTTATCGTGTGCGTTCCATATTGAATTTTTTATTTACAATTATACACAAAATATTCAAAGAGGCAATTTTAAATTTTTATTATAATTATGTGAATTTTAATTTGTTTATTTATGAAAAAAAATATCATGTTGATTTTCTAAAAATAAATAGATAACTTTTAAAATTAATTTCATTTAAAGACTAAAAAAATAAAACTATTAACATTATTAAGTTGCAACAATTAAATAGTGTTTAGACTCTCTTTAGACTTAATAATAAATTTTAACTTTTTCAAATTTAATTCAATAGTTTTTAACTTTAAACTCTCGCACATATATATTCCTGAATGGAAGAATAAAAAAAAATATTTCATATTAAACTATTTCAAAGTTATATCATAAAGCATTGTTTGAAATAAATACACATTATAATTATATTAAAAAAAAAATATATATTGAAAATTAACAATATATGTTAAGTGAGTGTAAAAATTTTAATATTAATTACTCACCGTAACTAAAATACGGTATTTTCCACGGTTAATTATTTCGATTAATAAATTATATTATGAATGGAATCTACCTATGTTATAAATGCGTTTATTGGTTCTCAAATTACCAAAATGAATGCTAAATGGATTTAAATTCATACTAAATATACACAAACTAGCTAATGTTTTACAAAATATAAAATATTTATATTATGTTTAATGTACATAGTGTTTTATCAGAATTTATAATAATATTAACAGCCATATCAATTTCAAGCACTTTTCACGTATATAAAATCCATGACCTATTAGCTTGCATTTATCTATTTTTTTTATACAAATTAACTATTATTTATATAACACATGTTTTCAAATATTTTAATAATACTACATGCCAACATTTAGTATGGGAAATATTACATACGACATCCAATGTTTGATTATTTATACATTGAGATGACACCATCTGAACTTAACACCATTTTAAAGATAATCTATGAACTATAGTACGACTGAAACGTTTAACCAAACAAAACCTGATATGACATAATATAATATGATATTGTTGAACTTACTTCTCAACTCTTGAGGACTGATCAATTTTCAATGAAATAGGCGTTTGTTACATATACAGTATAATTCAAATTGTGTTATTATTATTCTTATTTTATAAAAATATGATTAAACAGTTTTTCTTTAAACTAGTTTTAAAATTAAATATATTAGTTTTCATTTAACAACTTTTAGGTATACGGAATTCAAACTAACTAATCTACCAAAAACATTGTAGTCTACTTGCTTTAAATCGTCAAGTACGAGCTTATTAAAACAAAATATATATACACTGTATGGATACAGATTGTTCCAGAAAATGTGTATCACTCTAATTATCTCTGTAGCAAATCAATTTTAGAATATCTAAAATAAACTGTTTTCAACATTGATCTATATTAAAATGCATGACATTTAATTTGAATTTTCTTATATGCTAGTATACGCTACTGTTAAGTCACAAGTAAATAATAGAATTTATGTGCCAAGGTCTTATAAAAATATTATTGGTATGATAAAGGGCTTTTTGAAACCTACAATGTTATAACGTATGTTCAATCAAAATTTTAAAATCTCCATTACAGAAATGCACAACTATTGCCTATACATTGCGCCGTTAAACTTATATCTTAAGATATCTAGATGAAAAGGATTGTTACAATATGTTATGATCTCCTTTCACCCACTAAGCTACAACTAATATTGTTCGTCCTGATAATAATTTTCAAATGAATAATAAATCTATGCATTTACAAAATAATATTTTAAGAGAAGTTTTTTTTGAAATCAATCTTTCTTCGACACAATTTACAACTCTCAGACAGTTGTTTTTTAAGGTATGGAAAATTATACTAAAACATCGAAACATTAACTGTAAAAACTTGATTTATAATAGTTTAATATATTCATATAACATTTTATTTACTCATTTCACCGACAAGTTTTAGAGAAATAAAAATAATAAAAGGAACATCATTGTAAAATTAGTACATTTCTCGTCATGCTAATAAAATTATATTTTCTACTGCTATCGATGTTTTTTATTTCATACTACCTATTAAGTTTTTCTTGGTAATGTTAACGTATAAATATCAAATCAAACAAATCATTCAATTTATTATTAGCGCTAAAGTTTTTGATACCAAGTATATGCTACTCTAGTTAGAAACCAGTACAAATACGATGTCTATAATACAGTACATGCAAATATTTTCTTACTGTTACCAAAACTTGTTCATATTATTATTCCAATTAAATTAAATATTTCGCTTACGAATTACAGAATTAAAATAATTCATATTCAATAATCTCATCGTCAAGTTGGTACAACTCATAAAAATATGCGTTACGTTACAATGTATTATATTTTTGTTTAATCGAAGCTATATTGAGTTAAGCCTAGATTTATTACACGATGGGGCAGGGCGTAGGGCCATTTAGTAAAATAAATTAGCTAAAATGTTCTTTAATGCATTTTACGTTCGTCTGTCCGAACTATTAATCAATGAGTATTGTGTAGGTTTTAATAAAACGTTTCAATTATGCCGTATGAATGTCCTGTGCTATCAATTTTAGCAATTAATTGGACTTGTACGTCTTCTAATTTCCCACATTATAAGTTGTCATAAAATAAGAATAGATTTATACTTGACATTTATGAATGATCAATAACAAACAATAATGTATTTAATTAACAGTTATTAATATTTTAGTGCAAACGACAAGGTAAAACGATGGTTGGATGGACTTTTCGTTTTGTATTTATATATATATTTATTTATTTATTTGTTACTTCTAGTATGATATAAAAAGAGATGCGCGTGTCTGCTATATATTTTTATTTATTTTATATTTTTATTATTTTACACGCAGCCATATCGGGGTTGCGCGAAGAAGAAATTCGATTAAAAATGTTCGCATTAAATTCAAACATGTGATTCTGAAGGCATATTTTATTATATATATAATACAATACTTACGTGACTGTGTAAAGTTATACATGTCAGACGTACGCGTTAGTTTTTTTCAGTGAAATGAACCGATAATATTATTATATTTGCTATTCCAAATAGGACTCAGACGTGCGTAATGTTTTAATAGTCACAGCTGATTTTTCACCGTGTTTCGTGATACCACTGATAGTCCACTATGATGCGATACACAATAATAATTTGCGCGTCATTACGTGTACAATATAATATAACTTAATTTGTACAGACCACAGAGTGATTCAGCAATAATGCTCGACCCCTAATTTTTCTCCCAACAATGAATTTATTCAAATTCTGATACATTGGACGTTCAATTAAATTTACACTCCTTGTTTTAAAATTATTGTATTTCATTGTGCTATCTATTTTAAAAGTATTCTATGGCAATACAAACTTATTTTTTTCAAATGAAAATTCACCTTTTTTGATGTCAAGAATTTAGTGAATAATTATTGATTTTATTTTTCACTTATAATTCTCAAACTATTTTTACAAATTATAAGTATTAATGGATTAATATTTATCACTATAATTTCAATGTATCATTAAAACTCATTATTACTCAACTCAACTTGAAATATTTTAATAGTAATATCGTGCAATTGATTCAATAATCCGTATTTTAAACGTAAATATTTTAGAACCAATATTTGTACGTTACATATTAAGATTATGGGACATCTTTAAATTTTATTTTGTATAAAATATACAACTTCGTCAAAATAATTTTTTTTTTTCGAAATAACAAAAACTGACAGAGAAAATAAACAATTTATGTTAAAAAAGAATTTCTACCTCAAATACAATAGTGTATAATGCGAAATACCGTTTATTTTTTTAGGTTTTTTTCTTATTATGATACAGGTAAACTAGAAAACAGAATAGCGTCCGTCTACCCTGTAAAAATATCTATTTATAATAAGTGCAATATATTATACGGTTATAATAATTGAATTCTAGTAAACGCACAAAAGTATTTACGCGTGCAGAGCATTTTTATATTATAACAAATAAAGGGGCTGCGTTTTTATTTTACTTTTTTTTTTCTCCAGGTGTCGTGGATCAGAAAACGTGACCTGCACATATTGACCGTTGGCATACTAACGTACACAAACGACCAGCGTTTTCAATCGCTGCATTCGGACGGGTCAGACGAGTGGACGCTCAGGATCACATCTCCACAGATCAAAGACTCGGGAACGTACGAATGTCAAGTGAGCACCGAACCGAAAATCAGCCAAGGATTCCAGTTGAATGTAGTCAGTGAGTGAATTATAAAAATATTAATACAATTAATAATCTGCGGACTTTTTTGAAAGAAAAAAAAGGAGAGTTACCACGACTAGGTAAGTAAAATCGAGTTGTGACTTTTGTGCGTGTGTGGATATGTATGTGACGTGTTTGTGTATAGTGACAATACTGACATAAGTAAAAAACAGTGTTGTGTACGTGACTGAAACCAATGGAATGTATGTTCGGTCTAGGCGGACTAAATATTATGCATACAACATAGTATACAGAGTGATCAATTAGGCATACACGTTGCCTACTCCTATTTTAAAAAAATTGTCTAAGTTATGCACATTTTGTATGACTTCAGATTATTTAAATTTATTATTATATAATATGCTTTAAAATCCATATTTAAAATGCCCATATTTGTTTATTTTATTTATGAAATATACTCGTGTGACGATATAGACTTCTCAGTATATGATTTGATTTAGAAAACTTATTATGCTTATAGCAAATCAAAAAAATAGAAAAAATACACGTAGTGCACTGCTTAAGCGTGCAAATTATAAAAAAAAATATTAAAGTATACTTTTGAATTGTAAAATTTGAACAAATTCGTAATTTATTATAGAATTACAAAATTGGGAGGAAAGAGTACCTATACTTGGTAAAATTACTCAGTATAGTTTGATGTATATGTATATATATATATATATATATATATACACACACACATAAATATATAAATATTATGTGCCATGGATCGTAAAAGTTCGGTTTTCAACAACTTATGCGCCGCTCAAAAATTACACACCCATGTACCATTATATCAGGCAGAGAATTTTGTTCGCACGCACGTGTGTGCGTACATGCGTGTGCGTGTGTGCGTATGTATTTGAACAAACGGTACCACTGCTTTTGTTATTGTGTACAACACACCGCCACAACCGACAATAGCGGAAATACCTCGTATTGTTATATATTGCGATGATCTCATACGGTATAATATAATATGTATATAAGCATTTCCATTTTTTCCCTTCGCCGAATCCAGATCAGATCAGTTAACACCCTCCTATACCGGCGTGTGTATAATAGCATAATATATTGTAAATTTTTCACCATCGCTTGAATACCCCGCGAAAACCGTCCGTTGCCGAATATTATCCGACGAGCACAATGCGACTTGTTAAACATTTGCGTTATTATATTATACGCATATATAATATATATATATATATATATATACACGCGTTGTAGGTATATCCGTTAACCGCGCTATACAAGTAGTATATATTATAAAAACTTTAATTCCTCGCATAAAGTTCGTTAGAATATTATAAATACGAGTTCGAACAAAATTAACGCTGAGTAACTAGTAAGAATAATTACATTTTCGACATTTTCGACATTATTTACACTATTTATAAATACTATATTAACTTCAGCGTATAATATTATGACGATACGACATAATACTATATTTTACTGACTAAATAAAGTCATAATTAAAATTCATAATCGATTCTAAAGACTTTTTAATGCAAATCTGTTCTTAAATAATTGTTATGATAAAGTAATAGTATATTAAATTTTAATATGTATACACATAAATGTATATATGTGTTTGTTTAAGCTATAAGATTCATAAAAAGCTATAAATTATTTTCAGACCGTAGTTATGATTTCCGTAAGTAAATAATAATTTCGAATCATCGATTGATTTACATTAATACAAATATTGAACAATTAATTAATAATTTTAATAATGTTTTTAATTCTTTGAATCAATCAATTTCAACCATTCGTCTGTTTATTTGCATAAGATATAAAATATCCATGTAACTCAACATGTTTTTGAAAAAATACTGCTGTCATATGGAATGAATTAACTTCAATGTTTGATCAACAAATAAAAGCCGCAACTATTAATTATTCTTAATGTTTTTATAATATACTTTAAATACAATTTAATGAATCTATGGTTATATTAAATATAAAATTTTATTACTATAAACTTTACAAAGGAAATAAAATAAATGTTTTCAACAGTAAAACATTGAAACATAAATGTTATAAGTTTTCGTAATTTTAAGTGTTTACTATAGCAACCTGTATTTATAATTCTTAAGTTTACGCGTTTAAGTAAGATATATTTCAAATGGAGTTTGAACTTTATTCATTTATTTACATAAATAGATTTTATTTTATTGAAGATAAACACAACATAATATATTTGACTCTGTCCGTCGTAAACCATAATTGATTGTGTACCTTCGTAAAACAATCAACATTATAAAAATAACAGAAACGAAATAGACTCTTGCCTCATTCAGCATTATCTGCTTTAAATTTTTATTATTTAAATCATATGTTTTCAAATACAAATATACATATTTATTTATACTTAAAAGAAAATTAAATCTATGAGTTATAAGCATACTTTAAAATATTCAAACTATATTTTTTTTATTATTATTATGAAAAGAATTATGTATACCTTATCTATATTCTACATTATATTTTTATTTGCAACTATGACTTTAAAAAATACATTTTACTTGGAAATTCAATCAAAAGATCAATTTAGTATAATAGTATTCTTCATCATCCTAAACAATTGACAATAATACAACAATTAATAATTCACTGAAGAGATTGTCTTTGAAAAATAAAATTACGTTTTATTTTCGAATTTTCAAAATATATATATATATAAAAATATAATAATAATAAAATAGACTAACTGACTAACGCGTTGGCAATGTAAATAAAATCAACAGAAGACGTGTTTGGATTTCTACGTAAAAGGTGTACGTGAATCACGGAAGTAATATACATTTGCCTAAACATTATAATATTATTGATTATGGTTTCGATATGAAATTGTAACTTTTTGTGAATAAGTTATGTGGAAAATAAAGATTGCTCATTAAAAATGTCTTTAATCGCATTTTGCAAAAGTAAATAACTCAATATTGATTATAGTTCACGTTGCCGCTTTCATTTACAAAACAATTATTCATTAAATTTGCATATTATTGAGATATTCTTCTTTACCTTTGTCAAATAGTATTTTATTCTTATAAAATATCTTCATTACTTTTATTCTGAAAATGTCCACAGGAGTATAAATAAAAAAGAAAAATTATAATGAAAAGAAAAAAATCGGGCAATAACCAAAATATTAGAAAAAAAAAAATGAAATTTTTGAAAACCGAATATGTAAAATAATTCCCAATCATAATCAAACTTATAAAAATTATTTTAAATTGTTCTTATTTTAATAATAAAAAAAAAAAATAATAACAATAATAATGATAATATTGTTTCAGGAATAAAATGATCGATTGACAACTTTAAAACTGATGTATTAAATAACTTTGCGAATATATCAATTTAAGTTCGGTGGTTAATTAAAAATTCACGATGGTTTAATAAAGAGTCTTATCTTTCAATTGAAATGTAGACATACTAAAATTTATTTCAAAAACCACACAATAAATTGAACATATTTGTAATTTAAATGATGTACGTACCATATTTTCGAAAATTAATTAGTGATTACTTATCAAAAGTTGTGCAATGTAAATACCGCTACCACGTTAAAAACTTTTAAATTGATTTTATCTGTTAAAAGCAAGATTGACGCATCGGTTTAACCTAAAATCTTAGCATACAATTTTAATGTGTATTACCATTATTGAATTTTTACAATATTTTTGAACCAATAGTAGAAGAAATTTAAACAAGTAGCTACTAAAAAATTAGCTATCTATTCATTTTATGCTCGAGCAAATTGAGCTCTATTCGTCTGTGTTTGTGTCCATCTTAGTATTATGAAAAATGTCTAATAGCGATTCTCGATTCCAGACTTTATTCAACAGAAATCTTATAGGCATTTAAATTTTGTATCCTATATTGTTCTACTGCTGTGACGCTGTTGATATTAATAGTTTCCGTGACATCTGGCGAGATGTCGTTTCCCTTCGACACTTGTTTCTCTTTATATTGGTTTTTAAATCTTATTCTTTAATCCCTTAACTTTTTGTACCGAGTAAAACTCATTTATTTATTTTCTTATTTGATTACCTTTTCGTTCCAATAACGCAACACCGTCAGATCAACAAAACGCCTTGGTACTGTGTTATATTCTAATCAAGCGCAGTTCGATACTTTCTTGCGTTTGTTGCGCGGACTGGTGCTTCTTGGGATTATGTATGCATAACACAGCTGTTATGTGCGTTTACTATTTATTACACAGATATTAAGTGCATATTATAGTTCATGTAGTAAAGTGAACTGAAAACGTAGGAGATCAAAGGACAAGATTTCTAGATTCAATTTTACTCGATTGGTTTCAGTTCCACTACAATCACTGTTGTTTGGTCTCATTGCCTTGTTATAAATAGTAGTTATTTAATACCGCCTTATGTTATGTGACACACAAAACGATTTATGGCCGTTCTTAACGGGTGACAATACCGTGATGTGGTGGTTGTATGACTGAAAACACTACCAAACCTAGAAACCCTTTTACGAGGAAGCCTTTTGCAATCATAGTGCGTGCAAAATATCCAAAAATGTATTACGTTATTTTATACCTGAGTACGTGACTGCAATAGTTCCAACACGTTTAAACACTTTTTCAGCAATCGAGCGTGTTCTGCCGGTTGTTTCTAGTTTCTTTGATATTACGCTGGTATTTTGAATAATTTTCTCTCTTCCGCTTGTTGCGGTCATCAGAATAAAATGCATTTTATTTGAATGATATGATTACAATGCCGATGTATTCGCACTCAGAGTGGAGTTTATTTGTGTTGTACTCAAATTAGTTGTTCCGAATATCATTCGCATTACCGCAGTCCTAATCATTTCTTCTCTCATCGAATTCGTCAATCGGATTTATTCTTTATTTTTATCTCATATTTTATACTATGCGGTGCGTGTTGTTAGTAATATCTGTCACTCTGCGCCCGAAACTTCTACTAGTCTTGCTTTTTCATTAACTACTGACCTTCTGTTTT